ACTGAGAGAACTGGGACAAGAGATTGTCACTTTGATCTTATGCTGAGTAGTGACATTAAAGAGCCAGATTGATTGTCAATGGGTTGAAATGGCAGAATGAACTGAGATTGTTGCAAAAGAAGATTGCTATTTGGGAAAGGTTGAGAACAACCTTTGTGAAAAGTTGAGAAGTTCAATAACTTAGTATCTCAGTAAGCATTGGCTGGAGGGGGCAAAGTTCTTTTCTGAAGTGTAATTGTCATGTCACTGGCCTAATAAGCCAGGGCAAATGTTCTACGGACATGGGGTCAAATCCCACATGGCAGATGGTACTTGATTTAATAATATTTTGGAATTAAAAGCTAGCCCAGTGGTGACCGTGTAACTATTATTGATTGTCATAAAAACCCATCTGGTTCAGTTACTTTAGGAAAGGAAATCTGTCATCTTTACCTTGCCTGGCTTACATGTAACTCCAGATCTACCCCAACGTGGCAGACTCCTTAACTGCCCTTGGACTTGGCCTAGCATGCCAATTAGTTCCAGGGCAATTACTGGCCCAGCCAGTAATGTTCACATCCTATTAATGAATAAAAAAGAAGTGGGACTTTGCTGTTGAGGTAATACTTGAAAAATGAATGGTCAAATTTATCTTCTGAAAATCCAAATCTTTATTTCTTTCTGTTTTTCAGATTAAGAATCCCTTAATTGCAAAGTATGGACATAAAAATTACATGACATGCCTAATTTTAACAGCATGCACAAGATTCAAAATATTCACATTACATTTGAATTTGGTGTTCAGCATCACTGATATTAGAGCCACTATCTGATTAGTGCTAAGAAACTACCCCCAAGTACAAGATTAAAGTTTCAGGTCTCAGCTCAGATTAAAAGTGAGCTGGAAGTGATGCTCAAATGGACAAAATACCTCCAAAGTCGTGTTGGATGAACCACGATAATAATTTGAGTGCTATTGCTATCTTATGATTTGGGAAATGTTGGAAAATTTATTTTCAGACATCAGTGCCAGTAGTGAAATATAAAATTCTTACCAAAAATTGAATCACAACTGGAAACATTACTTCTAGTAAGAATTCTGTGATTAACAGCTTTGAAATTACTATGAGTAATGTTATTGTGTAAATGCTTAACATACTCATACCAAATACATTTTAAATGAGTTAATGCTTCTACTAAAACAATGAAGGCAGGAAATTGATATAAATACATTGAGTTAGTTTGATAACATCACTTATAATAGTTTCCAAATCATTTACTAAAGTCACACATACAGAGAAACAATCAGGATGGGAAAACCAACACATGTAATGTTTTATTTTGGTAGTCTCCCAAACTTTGTCTAACTGTAAAACTTATACAAGGCTTAAGTGGTTTTTTTTTAATCAAGTTTCAACTGGCTTTAAATTTAACTTGTTTAATGCAGGGAATGTAACTCGAGAATAACAGGAACTCCTTTTGAAAACAATGGAAATTCCAGAACTATTTAGGCAAAAGCAACTCCAGTGTAGACACTTTGCAAGTATGGCAAATTACATTTCTTAAATCATAGAATCCCTACAGTGTGGAAACAGGCCCTTCAGCCCAACAAATCCACACCGACCCTCATAGCATCCCACCCAGAACCATCACCCTATAACCCATTCTGTCTACACATCGCTGAACACTATGGGCAATTTAGCATGGCCAATCCATCTAGCCTGCATATCTTTGGACTGTGGGAGGAAACTGGAGCAGCAGGAGGAAACCCACGCAAACACGGGGTGGATGTGCAAACTCCACACAGACAGTAGCCCGAGGATGGAATCGATCCCAGGTTCCTGGCACTGAGAGGCAACAGTGCTAACCACTGAGCCACTGTGCTGAATGTTAAAAGCCAGACATTCTAAAATTAAAGAATAATTTCAGCACTTTGTTAATAACTAAAATTGTAATTAAGGATTGAAAATAATATCCTTAAAGATTAAAGGGCTTATATGACCACATGTACATATTACCCAGTGACTATATGTGTACGTTTTCAACAAGTCACTGGGTGGTGATCAAATGTAGGCATTCCTTGACTAGAACCAAGGATTGTTTACAATTTTTTTGCAGTATATGTGTTGATACCTGTGCATGTTTAACTCACTTAGAGTAGATATCTGAGGATTGTATAGTTGTATTTGTTCTGTATGAATGATGATATTGCAGTTTGTAAGCCCAATAACTGGCCAAATTTTAGTTCTTTAAATATTTAAGTTATCCCTTCAAATATTCATCTTACCCTGAAAGTATCAACTCATGCTGACTCTCAGGGTGTCCTATTTTCCAGTAATTCACTCAAGGTTTTTAAAAAAAATGTTCATGGGATGTGGGTATTGCTGGTGAGGCAGAATTTATAGCCCATTCCTAATTACCCTTGAAAAGGTTGTGGTGAACTGCCTTCTTCAACTGCTGCAGACATTTGTGGTATAGGCACATACAAGATACTTTTCAGGAGGGAGTTCCAGACTTTAGACCCAATATGATTCTGAGCCAGGATGGTCTATGGCTTAGAAAGGAACTTGCAGCTGATAGTCTTACCATGTATCTGCTTCCTTGTTCTAGGTTGTAGAGGTTGTAGGTTTGGAAGATTCTGCTTAAGGAACCTTGGTACGTTGCTGCAGTACATCTGCTTGTTGGTGGTGGACAGAGTAAATGTTTGTGGATGTGGTTCACTCAAGCGGACTCCTTTTCCCAGGATACTGCCAAGATCCTAAAGTGTTATTGGAGTTGCGCTCATCTGGGCAAGTAGAAAGTATCCCATCATACCCTCTCACTTATGTCTTGTAGATTGTGGGGAAGCTTTGAGAAGTCCGGGAATGAGTTACTTACCACAGATTTCTCAGCCTCTAACCTGTTCATATAGCCACAGTATTCACTTGGCTGATCCAGTTCAGTTTCTGATCAGTTGTAATGCCCAGGATGTTGATACTGGTGGATTCAGTGATGGTAATATCATTGAATATCAAGGTTTGATGGTTTGATTTGCCCTTGTTATAACCGGTCATTCCTGACACTTGCGTGGCGTGAATGTTACTTGCCACTTATCAGCTCCAGCCTGAATCTGTCTATGTCTTGCTGCATTTGGACAAGGACTGTTTCAGTATCTGAGGAATCGCAAATGGTACTGAACATTGTGTAGTCATCAGCGAACATTCTTATCTCTGACCTTGCAGATGCTGAAGATGTTTGGGCAGGGGGCATTACCTGAGGAACTCCTGCAATGATGTCCTTTGGCTGAGATGATGGACCTCCAACAACCACAACCATCTTCTTTTATGTTAGGTATGTCTGTAAACGTTGGAGAGCCATTATCCTTACTCTCATTGACTCCAGTTTTGCTACAGCTCTTTGATATCATAATAGGTCGACTGCTACCTTGATTCAAGGGCTGTCACCTTCACTTTCCCCCTTGAGTTCAGCCCCTTTATCCATGCTTGGACCAAGGTCACAATGAAGTCAGGAGCCGGGTAGGCCTGGTGGAGCCCAAAGTACAGTTCTGAGGGTAAGTTAATGTTGACTAAATGCTATCTGAAGGCATTGGCTTCAGTACCTTCCATCACTTTGCTGATTATTGAGAGTAGGCTGATGGGGCAGTACTTGAGCTGGATTGGATTGACCCTTTTTTGGACAGGATATGGGGGAATTCTTTGCATTGTTGAATGAATGCTAATATCGTAACTGTACTGGAGCACCATGGTTAAAAGCACAGTGAGCACTGGAGCACTAGTCTTCAGTGGTGTTGCTGTAATGTTGTCAGGGCTTGTAGCCTTTGCAGTATCCAGTGCCTTCAGACATTTTTTGACATCATATGCAGTGAACTGAATTGGCTGAGGGCTGGCATCTGTAATGCTACGGATCTCAGGAAGAAGCTGAGGTAAATTATCGTTTGACACTTCTGACCTACTTTCAGTTGTTTCAGCCTTATCTTTTGCACTGATGTGCAGTATTCGCCCCCGTTACTGAGGATGGAGATGTTTGTGGAGCCACCTCTTTCAGTAAGCTGTTAGTTATCCACCATAATTCATGATTGGATATGCCAGGATCGAGAGCTTGCATTGACAATTAGATTGATAAGAAAGAAGTATTGGATAAGCTGCATGTATTTAAAGTTGATAAGGCACCAGGATTGGATGAGATGCATTCAAGTATATTGAAGGAAGTGAGAGTGGAAATTGCAATGGTACAGGAAGTTACTTTTCAATCTTCCCTGCATTCGGTGATGATACTGGAGGAGAGGAGAATTTCAAATGTTATGTCCTTATTCAAAAAATGTTGTAAAGATCAACACATCAATTACAGACCAGTAAATTTAACATCGGTATTAGAGAAATCCCTAGTAACAATTATTTGGAAAATATATCAATAATTTGTGGAAAATGTCAATTGATTCTTCTGTGCAGTCTTGGTAGGCCAAAGGGTTTGTTCCTGTGCTGTGCTGTTCTGTTCTTTGTTGTTCTTTGATTCAGAAGAGTCAACGTGGATTTATTAAGGGAACTTTGTACCTAACTAACTTGCTGGAGTTTTTTAAAATGGTAACAAAGGGGCTTGGCAAGGTGCAACCTGCCTTGTGATGTACATAGACTTCCAAGAAGCATTTGATACAGAGCCATACAACAGTCTTACGAGGAAAGTTATTACGCATGGAATAAAAGGGACAGTAGCAATGTAGGTACAAAATTGGCTGAGGGATAGGAGACAGAGGTTAATTCCACCCCAATGGGAATTTTCAGGCTGGAAGAAGGTTTGCGGTGGAACTCCCCCAGGAGTCAGTATTGCGGCTTGTGCTTTTCCTAATGTATAACTGATTTAGTATGAAGACTTCTTTTTTCTGTTTTTGATTGTGTACTGAAATGGGAAAGGGACTGATTTTAAAACCAATGATTGTGGAAGGGGATTGCTGTATTTTTTAAAAGAAAGTTACCTGGTATTTATTGTAAGTGCTGTTTATACTGCTGTTTGTTCAAGCAGGGCTGACGAGCTGCAGCCAAGGGGTGTGGACAAATGGAAATTCGGCTGGCAACAAACATCTGATTGGTCTGAGGAATGGTTGTCAATGACAGAGGCCTTCTGCCTGCCAACAACTGTGTATTTGGCTTCCAGGTAGCTGAACAGCTGTGGGTATGAATGTTTGGGCAGATACTGTCAGACCTCCAAAAGGTAGGAGCTCTCCTTTTCTCTGCAATAATAAAAAACATGAAGCCTGAAGAAAACCAGTTTATTTGCCCTCAACAGTTGCTTTAGGCTGTGACTTTTAAACAATAAGTCAGTGAACTCTGTGGAAAGTAACCATTGAACTGCCTTCCCAGTCTTTCTCTCCACACAAGACACCCATTTTTTGTGTCTGTGTGTTTGTCTAAATGTATGTATTGGGTGAATTTTATAAGGTACTTAGAGTTTCAAATAGAGTAGAGATACATGCCGTTAGTTCATAATTGTTTACCTTTAGCTAGCGTTTATTTATTTGTAATAAATTGTAATTCTTGTTAAGTACACAAACTTGGTCCATGCTATCTGCCAATCCTGATCTGAAAATTGGGGAAATTTGCATGTTATTATAAAATCTTTAACTTTTGTAATGATTCCAGGTATAGCAGGAGTTGATTTCCAGCATGCAATCCCAGTGAGATGTAACACTAGGTCTTGATGTGCAGGAGACTGCCTCAAAGTTTGTGGATGAGCAGAGAGATCTGAGAGTATTTGTATATAAGTTATTAATACTAGATTAAATAGGAGTGTAGAGTACAAGAACAGGGAGATTATAATGAACATATGTAAGTCACTGGTTACACATCAGCTGAAGTATTGTGTATATTTCTGTATGCATTTGAGAGTGTGCGGAAGAGGTTTACGAGAATGATTCCAGGGATGAGACACTTCAGTTGTGAGCAAAGATTGGAAAAGCTAGGATTGCCTTCCTTAGAGAGGAGAAGGATTTAAAGATTATTGAGAGAAATTTTTAGAATCATGAAGGTCTGGACAGGGTGGATAGGGAGAAACTGTTCCCATTCTTGTCTAAAAATGAGAATCAGAAGGCATAGTTTTAAAGTATTTTGCAAAAGAAGCAAAATGCAAGATGAGAAAATCTTTTTTCACAGAGAGAGTAGTTAAGGTCTAGAATAATTCACTGTCTGGAAGTATGATTCAGGCAAGTTCAGTTAAGGCATTTGAAGGTACATTAGATCATTATTTAAATCAAAATAATGAACAGGGTCGCAAGGAAAGGCAGGAGATTGGCACTTAATTAAAATGCTCAGAGAGCCAGTGCAGACAAGCTGGGCCATACTGTGACCTTATCTGTTGGCTGTGGGATCACTTAACTCCATCTATTGCATTAAATTAAAAAAGCTAAGAACTATGGATGCTGTAAATCAGAAACAAAAACAGAAATTGCTGGAAAAATTCAGCAGGTCTGGCAACGTCTGGAGAGAAAGCAGAGTTAACGTTTCAGGTCCAGTGATCCTTCTTTAGAACTTCTCCTTTAGAGCTTAGCATGGCCACAATTACCCTATCAAGCCAAGATCAACTGATGTAACCCAATAACTTAAAATAAACATTTTCTAAGATAATAAAAATTTATAGAAGCTGTTAAAAAAATTTACTAGCAGCTTATTTGTTAAAAGTCACAAAATTGCTATTGTACCAATGACACTGTGATGGCATATTACAAGGGAACTTCCAATAATTTACAACATCTGAACTTTTTGCTGGAAGTAATGGCGGCAGAGTAGGACACTCCACATGGAGCTCCTTTGCTCCGCTTGTTCTTTTTGTTTCTTTTCTTTTTTTCTCTCTTCTTAGCAGTCGTGGAGCAGTTTTCAGGGCAGCTGTCCCTGAGCAGCACAATGTGAGCAAGTCCCAGAACTGCCTGAGGTGAAACGGGTCCGAGAGCAATGTGCGGGGAAGCGAGTCCTGGAGCAGGATTACTATCTGAGCCATGCACTACTTTGCAGAGGGTCATTAAGATTAAGCAGACAAATGTGTGGCTTAAAGACTGGTGTGGGTGAGATGGGTTTGAATTCAAGGGACATTGGCAGCAGTACTGGGGAAGAAGGGACCTGTTCTAATGGGACGGTCTTCATCTGAATCGTACTGGGAGTAGAGTCCTTGTAGACAGGGCTTTAAACTAAATGGGAGTGGGTAGAGTTCAGTTATAGGAGAAATTAGAAAACCCAAATTAAAAGTGCAGGTTAGCAATGTGGCGGATGGTTACCAGACAATAAACGTGAGGGACAGAACAGGTGATTATATTTACGCACCAAGGATTTATTAAAGAGTAGGGAAATTTATCAGTAGAACAAATTTAAAAGCTTAGTATCTAAATGCACAAAGCATTCAAAACAAAATTCGTGAGTTAATGGCGCAAATAGAAACAAAAGGGTATGATTTAGTAGCGATTACTGAGACATGGTTACAAGGAGACCAGGTCTGAGAATTGAATATCCAAGGGTACTCAGCATTTTGAAAATATAGAATGGCAGGAAAAGGAGGTGCTGTAGCTTTGCTGGTGAAGGGAAAGATCAGAGCTGTAATGAGAAATAATATAAGTACGTGGGATCAAGATATGTAATCAGTCTGGATAGAAATAAGAAATTGCAAAGGGAAGAAGTACTTGGTAGGAGTAATCTATAGGTCCCCAAAAAGCAGTTCTGCAGTGGGACACAGTATAAACTAGGAAATATTGGAGGCTGGCAAAAAAGGTTTGACAATAATAATCATGGGTGATTTTAATGTGCACATAGATTGGAAGAATCAAATTGGCAAGGGTAGCCTGGAGGCAGAGTTCATTGAATGTATTAGAGATTGTTTCTTGGAGCAGTATGTTGTGGAACCAACCAGGAAGCAAGCTACTCTGGATTTGGTATTGTGTAATGAAGAGAGGTTAATTGGCAACGTAGTTAAGGATCCTCTAAGGAATAGTGACTCTGGTATGAGAGAATTCAAAATTCAGTTTGGGGGTGAGAAATACGGGCCATTTTCCATTGCATGCAAGCTTCCACCTCAGACGTGGGACAAATGAAGATAATTTGAAAACCAGGATCTCAGAACCAACACTAAGGTCATGGCTTATTAGGAGGTAGTGGTCCATGTGCATCTGCATGTTTCTGAGACTCAGACAAACTACAACAGGCATTTCAAAGCACTGAACGGGGTAAAGATTCAGGGAATAAAGAATCCCATGGCATTAAAGTCCAGGGATAAATCAGTCTAAATGTGTAATGAGTCTTACTTTAAACATAATAGAGATGGGTGAGGAGGAAGTCTTGATTTGGTATTGTGTAATGAGGAGACACCATAGTTAAGGATCCTCTAGGGAGTAGTGACTGAAGCATGATAGAATTCAAAATTCAGTTTGGGGGTGAGAAAGTGCACTCCCACAGTAGTGTTCTGGAATTAAACAAAGGAAATTACATAGGCATGAGGACAGATTTGGCCCAAGTAGATTGGCCAGGAAGGTTAAATGGTTAGACAGCAGATGAGCAATGGCAGTTGTTTCAGAAGCTACTCAATTCCTCACAACTAAAATATATCCCAGTGAGGAAGAAAGATGGTAAGGGGCGTAAAAAAAAAATCCATGGTTAAACAAGGAGGTCAAGGACAACTAAGGAATACCTATTGCAAAGGCCACTGGCAGGTAGGAGGATTGGGAAACTTTCAAACATAAAGAAAGGGATACTATAAAATAAATAAAAAGGGCTAAGGTAAATTGCAAAAGAAAAGTAGCACAAAATATCAAAAAGGATAGCAAAAGCTTCTATAGGTATATAAAAGGGAAGAGAGTCGCTAAGGTAAATAGTGGTCCCTTGGACAACGAAACTGGAGAGTTAGTAATGGGGAATACTAAAATGGCAGAGATACTAAATCAATACTTTGCCTCAGTTTTCACGGTGGCGGACAATAGTACCATTCCTATTGGAATGGGCAAGTCAGGAAGGGTAGAACTTAGAACAATCAACATCGAGAGGGAAAAGATACTCAACAAATTGTTAGGAAGGAGGGTAGACAAGTCCCCCAGGTATGATGGCCTACATCGTAGGGTATTAAAGGTAGTGGTGGTGGAGATAGTGGATCCATTGGGTACAATATTCCAAAAGTTCCTGGTCACGGGAAAGATTCCAGCGGATTGGAAAATTGCTAATATAAGGCCCTTATTCAAAAAGGGAGGGAGGCAATATGTGGGAAATTACATACCAGTTAGTTTAACATCTGTTGTTGGCAAAGTGCTAACACTTTAATCAATTATCAAGGAAGCAATATTAGGGCACTTGGAAAGTCAAAACGCTATCCAACAGAGTCAGCATAGTTTTATGAAGGGCAAATTATGTTTGACTAATTTGCCACAGTTCTTCGAAGATGTAACAAGCAAAGTGGATAATGAGTATCCTGTAGATGTAATATATCTGGACTTCCAGATGGCGTTTGATAAGGTGCTGCACAAAAGGTTAATTCACAAGGTTGGAACATATGGGATTAGGGGTAATTTATTAGCTTGAATAGATGACTGGCTGATGGATAGAAGACAGAGCTGAGATAAATGTTTTTTTTCTGGATGGCAAGAAGTAACTACTGGGGTGCCACAGTGTTCGGTCCTTGGACCCAAGCACTTTACAATCTACATTAACGACTCGGATACAGGGATAGAAAGCCTTATAGTCAAATTTGTGGACAACTCAAAAATAGGTGGGATGATAAATTGCAATGAGGAAATAAGAAACTTATAAATGGGATGTAGATAGGTTAGGAGAGTGGGCCAAAATGTGGCAGATGGAGTTTAACATGGATAAGTGTGAGGTCTTGTATTTTATTTGTAAAAATGGGAAAATGACCTATTATCTAAATGGGGAAAGACTTTGGGGTGCTCCAGTGCAGAGGGATCTGGGTGTCCTTGTTCATGAGTCACAGAAAACTGTATGCAGGTGCAGCAGATAATAAAGAAAGTGAATGGAATATTGACTTTTATAGCTAAAGAAATAGAATATAAAGGTAAGGAAGTATTGTTGTAACTATACAAGGCATTGGTGAGATGGACAGGAAAGATGTAATGGCATTGGGGGCAATTCAGAGGAGGTTTATTAGAACGATCCCAGAGATGAGGGGTTTGTCGTATGAAGAGAGATTGAACCGTTTAGGCCTATACTCTCTGGAATTTAGAAGAATGAGGGGAGATCAAATTGAGGTATTCAAGATGATAAAAGGTGTAGATAAATTAGACGTGGAGCGGATGCTTCCTCTTGTGGGGCATTCTGAGATGAGGGGTCATAGTCTTAAGATAAGGGGTAACAAATTTAAAACAGAGTTGAGAAGAAACTGTTTCTCCCAAAGAGTTGTGAATCTGTGGAATTTGACACCCCAAAGTGCAATGGATGCTGGGACGGTGAGTAAATTTAAGGAGGGGTTAGACAGGTTTTTAAATTGGTAATGGGTTGGAGAGTTATGGGGAGAAAGCAGGAAAATGGAGATGAGAAGCATATCAGCCATGATTAAAATGGCTTACTTCTGCCCCTATATCTTATGAACTTAAGTGCGAGTGAAACGAGTCCTGGAGCAGCATGAGGGGAAATGAGTCCTGCAGCAGTGTGCATGGAAGTGAGTCCTGGAGCAGCACGAGGGGAAGCGAGTCCCAATGCAGCACAAGGGGAAACAAGCCTTGGAGCAGCATGAGGGAAACAAGTCTTGGTGCAGCGTGAGGGAAAGCGAGTCCCGGAGCAGTGCAACTTACCTTGGTGCAGCCGAGTGCCGGTGCAGAGTGGATTGGAGGCTTGGAACAGAGCGGGACTGTTGTTGGGCTGGGGCCTAGGCAGTCAAATCACGTGTGGAACTACTGCTGTTTGGAATTCTTTACTGAATTGTAATGTCAATCTAACTATGTATATAACAATATAACGTTAACTATGTTATAACTGCCTTATTTCTAACCTTTTTTTAAGACACTGTAAGTAATGCTACTACTCCTTTTATTCCTCTTTTGTATGTAAGATTTATAAATAAGTACTTGTACCTAAGATAGTACCATTAAAGGCAGCCATTGTAAAAACTTTTCACTGTACTCCTGTATTTCTGTAGTGGAGTACACGTGATAATAAAGGATAGTCAATTCTATTTTAAGACACAATTAGGGTGTATCTTCACTTCTGTACTTGCCCATGGCAGCTTGACTATTTCAAACATTTTGCTATTTATAGTGACATCTGGGAACAATCATGTCACATCATTTCAGGACGGTACCTTGGGCCTTTCAAAATACCAGAGGAGTAAATCAGTTAAAACCATGAAGATAAATCAAACATTGCAACACAGGCAAATTATCAGGAGCCAGTCTACTGCTTTTGTCTAGAAGTTAATTGAACCTTAAGAAATGCATGATTGTAAATTGAGAAAATGTAGTAGTTCTTCCACACCCTGTAGTTTTGAACTCTGCTCCAGCTGATAATCAAAACTGAAACGCTCTGAAGTAGTTCAAAATCCTTACTGTACATCTCATGTTTACATATATAAAGTCTGAAGGTTGGATGTATTAAACATATTATGTGCATCCAGTAGCTTTGTATACAATGTGTTGCATTTTACATATAAAGCTCATCATTTTAAGCTTCTGCCTTGGGTATAACTTCAAATATTTAGATTTAACTTTTATGCATAATACTAATATTCAATCTTTCTGTAAGATTTCACAGTTCTGGAAATAAAAGAAATTTTAGTTTTTCTTTCTTACATTCAAGTTGTAAATCCTTCAATTTCATATATTGCCCATTACAGAATCTATTAACAATATGAAAAGTTGATGTTTTTAATTCCAATTTATATTTACATAGCATTTTTAACACCACAAAATCATTAAAATCCAAAATCCATAAAAAGCAATGCTATAGAAAAAGGTTTCTCTTGACTGCAGCTGAAGCTTCTTTTAATATGTACTAGAAATGATAGGCTTTTAGCACCTGCGATTGGTAGAGGGACATAGGAACTGATGTAAGATGCTATAACTCAAAAATTGCATCTGGGGCCCTACCTGTATCATTTGACGCCTATATGCATGAAAATCACTCTTGATTCTGATAGGAGACAAGATCAACACACTGTCAGTTCTTCTAGCAATTGCATAATGTTGGTTCTCTTGCTTTCTGTTTTTGAACATAAATGAAGTTCTGGAGAGGGGCTAGATTAGAAGTGAACAGGGCCCCAAAATATGATGCGATCTGTTGTGTGGACTTCCAGATCCCATTCCCACGAACAGCAATGGTCACAACAACAAGAATTGAGGGAGAGTCCTGCCATTCTGTATAATCAATGATGAAGGCCAATTAAGATGATTAAGGAGCTCATTAATGGTGAATGTTGTGATTTTCCTGGGGGCATAAGAGCTGTGCACACCTGGATCAGATCAGATGAATTTACATCATGGGGAACCAGTCAAGGTACTACTGTATTATCTGAGTTGTTTAAAAAGGTGAAAATCTTGGAAAACTGGTGACATTAGCACAAAACCCAGTCCTGATGAAGGGTCTAGGTCAGAAACGTCAACTCTCCTACACCTCTGACGCTGCCTGACCTGCTGTGTTCCTCCAGCTCCACACTGTATCGACTCTGCCATCAGCACAGTGTAGTGGCAGGGAGAGGGAGGTGTAGGTGCTTTGGCACTGCTGAGATCATCACCCTGTCATGGCATCATGAGAACATGACTGCCAAGCAAGGATGGGGAAGATACTTGAGTAAAAGGAATGTTACTATAGGAGACTAACTCTGCAGACAGTTGGTCATAGATGTATGGACTTTCATTGCTGAAGACTTCCATTTCACAGCACTGGTCACCATACTCTGCCAGGAGCCATCAAAGTCACTTTGGCTACCGGTTTCTTTGATTCTGGCTCCAAGTATCAGCTTCAGACCTTAATGGCATTTTGTAGCAGTTGCACACCATTGCATTTTGCATCACTGATGTCCCATTTGCAGAGCTGGACAGTACATTTCAATTAGCAAAAAATGGGATTGTGCAGGCACAGAGAGCAGCACATAGCCATGAAAACAGTGGAATGACCAACTGTCGAATTTCACCAACAAGAACCATTCCCACTCTTTCAATGTTCAACTGATCGACAAATGCAATAAGATTTTCCTTTATCAATGCATCACATTCCTGGCAGCTGTTTTGACTCCTTCATCCTCTGGGCTGGCAGTTCAGACCATTGCAGATTTTCTCCCTAAGCCCCAAAATTCGTGGATGGATTCTAGGATACACGGATACCCTTTGAAGAGATAAGTAATCACCACTGTAGGAGAGTGTCATACAGTCATAGAACATAGAACATTACAGCGCAGTACAGGCCCTTCGGCCCTCGATGTTGCGCCGACCTGTGAAACCAATCTGAAGCCCATCTAACCTAAACTATTCCATTATCATCCATATGTTTATCCAATGACCATTTAAATGCCCTTAAAGTTGGCGAGTCTACTATTTTTGCAGGCAGGGCATTCCACGCCCTTACTACTCTGAGTAAAGAACCTACCTCTGACATTTGTCCTATATCTATTACCCCTCAATTTAAAGCTATGTCCCCTCGTGCTAGCCATCACCATCCGAGGAAAAAGGCTCCCACTGTCCACCCTATCTAATCCTCTGATCATCTTGTATGTCTCTATTAAGTCACCTCTTAACCTTCTTCTCTCTAACGAAAACAGCCTCAGGACCCTCAGCCTTTCCTCATAAGACCTTCCCTCCATACCAGGGAACATCCTGGTAAATCTCCTCTGCACCGTTTCCAATGCTTCCACATCCTTCCTATAATGCGGTGACCAGAACTGTACGTAATACTCCAAGTGCGGCCGCACCAGAGTTTTGTACAGCTGCAACATGACCTCATGGCTCCGAAACTCAATCCCTCTACCAATAAAATCTAACATACTGTACGCCTTCTTAACAATGCTATCAACCTGGGTGGCAACTTTCAGTGATCTATGCACATGGACACCGAGATCTTTCTGCTCATCCACATTACCAAGAATCTTACCATTAGCCCAGTACTCTGTATTCCTGTTACTCCTTCCAAAGTGAATCACCTCACACTTTTCCACATTAAACTCCATTTGCCACCTCTCAGCCCAGCTCTGCAGCTTATCTATGTCCCTCTGAAACCTGCAACATCCTTCTGCACTATCCACAACTCCACCAACTTTGGTGTTATCCGCAAATTTACTAACCCATCCTTCTATGCCCTCATCCAGGTCATTTATAAAAATGACAAACAGCAGTGGCCCCAAAACAGATCCTTGAGGTACACCACTAGTAACTGAACTCCAGGATGAACATTTCCCATCAACCACCACCCTCTGTCTTCTTACAGCTAGCCAATTTCTGATCCAAACCGCTAAATCACCCTCAATCCCATGCCTCCGTATTTTCTGCAATAGCCTACCATGGGGAACCTTATCAAACGCTTTACTGAAATCCATATACACCACATCAACTGCTTTACCCTCATCCACCTGTTTGGTCACCTTCTCAAAGAACTCAATAAGGTTTGTGAGGCACGACCTACCCTTCACAAAACCGTGTTGACTATCCCTAATCAAATTATTCCTTTCTAGATGATTATAAATCCTATCTCTTATAATCCTTTCCAACACTTTACCCACAACCGAAGTAAGGCTCACGAAGTAAGGTGTCACAACCAATGCCATCTTCTTACCAGGACCAACACTGAAATGATATCAGACATCTGAACATGCAGACCAGTCAGTTGATGCCCTACAATATACTCCTGCAAGAGCCACTCGTTCTCTGCACTCTTCATAGCATAAGCCTCCAGAGTGATATCGAACTTGTAAACAATGAACTCCCGGAAGAAAACAGTGTATCAGAGGAAAAGGAGACAGAGGCATGGTTGCAGAGCACCAAGAATAGAGTAGAGCCAGGAAGTCTCCTCAGGATGCCATGAATGGCAAAGGTCTTCGCAATTCAAGAACATTTCTACTGGGACAACCAACCAAGGATGCCCAGCATGGCAAGGAACTTACTCTGAAATGCTTGTACTATGACTTCCATTAAACATGCAGCCAGGATAATGTAAACTTTGACCACCAATGGAGGAAACACATCGGACTAAAGGTTTAGCCATTAATGTTAAGGAATCCTTGATCTCTTCCGTCCCTGTTGACCCATCATCAATAAAGGAGTCTCTCAAGTGTGGCCTCAACTCATGACTTACATAGTGCTCTGTAGTGTTAGGCTTAGAAATGATACCACCAAATCAGATTAATGAGCACTAATTGGACATGGCAATAAGCAATTGAAGGAAAATACATGAAAAACAGGCTTAGTAGAAAGCAGCCTGTTTTGGCTGACAATGACCTTGCCTTGGCTTGGAAATAGGCTGTTTTTCAGCGACACCTGGATTTGTTTGTGACCACCAAGCACAGAGGAAAGTACTCAGAATGGTAATGCAGCATGTAATATCAGATTCAGAAAAGTACTTATGTGAGGCCTTTTCCCAACTTTTGAGACATTTCGCCAGCAGATTGGAGTTCGCAGGCCGGTGCTATGGAAATTGAGATAGACCTCCAAGTGCCAGCCGTCATCCAGGAGTCCCCAACGGGCAGATGGCAGCGAGACTCGCTTGTGGAATATGTCTAAAGTGGTTTAAGCTAATAGATACACTTATTAGTTTGCATAAAGCTGAAGTAGATTAAGCTAATAAATTTGCTTTATATTGAATCACACATGGCTTCTTGTATTCATTTTGACTAGAACTCAGAGAACACATTAAGCACGTTCAGCCTAAAAATAAGTACTCTTAAAGAAAAAAAATTTCACTGATACAGTTGCAGGTAGAGAGACCCAAGTGACCCAATCAGTGGTCCACAAAATAGAATAGCCTCCAAGCTCAACCACTTCCATGCAATGCTCCCCTTGTGGCCTCTAACTATTAACTTGTCTGTACCTACAGAAGAAATGCACATAGTGGTAGCCCACATCATAGAGGTGCCAGTAGGGAAATATCCCGAGACTGCTGCATTTGAATCACATAGGCTCAAAAACATCCCCTTTACTCCTCAGACAAACATTCCAAATTACTCTAAAACACTAGATGCAAGCAATACCTTTGACATATATCT